GCACCTAGCGCCTAGGGTGAGGGTTTAGGGTTTAGGGTTTAGGGTTTAGGGTTTAGGGTTCAGTGCCTGGGGCAGCCATCAGGGAGTTGGTTGTTGAGGGTTTGAATGGGTTTGAAGCCGCAGCTGCAGCACTGCAGCAGCCGCTTTGTTGCTTTTTTGAGGGTTTGGTGGTGCTGCTGCTGCTGGCAAACAGGGTTTAGCCGGTCCGAGTATCTCTGGCACTGCACGCAAACCCTAAACCCTAAACCCTAAACTCTAAACCCTAAACCCTAATCCTTCGACCCCGGACCCGGAAAGCACGCGGACTCACACACAACCAAGAGACACGCACACAAACCCTAAACCCTAAACCCTAAACCCTAAACCGCGAACCCCAAGCCCTAAACCCTAAACCCTAAACCCTAAACCCTAAACCCTAAACCCTAGGTGGGAACCTGGATACAGAAGAAGGCGGAGACAGTTGTCTCTTTAATTGTTTGTTTAAATTCATGTTTTATGTCTGAGGCCTCCAGCAGCCGCAGCCGCTCCAGCTGCTGCTGCCAGTCTTCCTGCGCATAAGCAGCGCAGCAGCAGCAGCAGCAGCAATAAGTGAAGCAGCAGCAGCAGCAGCAAGAGCAGCAGCAGCAGCAGCAACGGCGGCAGCAGCAGCAACAGCGAGAGCAGCACACGCAGCAAAGAGAGCTGCAGCTGCTGCAGCAAAAAGTGCAGCGGTCGCAGCAGTAATAGCAGCAGCACCAGCGGCACAAGCAGCAGCAGCAGCATGAGGAGCAGCAGCAGCAGCAACAGGGCCAGCAGCAGCAGCAGCAGCAACAGGGCCAGCAGCAGCAGCAGGAATAACAATAGAAGCGAAACTATCAGCAGTAACAGCAGCATTAAGAACAGCAGCATCAGCAGCAGCAAAAACGTAGCAGCTGCTGCAAACGGGTAGCAGCAGGAGCAACAGCAACAAAAGAGCAGCAGCAGCAACAAAAGAGCAGCAGCAGCAGCAGCAGCAAAAGAGCAGTAGCAGCAGCAGCAGCTACTTGGTCGACAATATCCGCCACTGAGGATTTAAGTTGCAGCATTTTTTCAAGGATGTCTTTTTGCTGCTGTGCTGCAGCAGCAGCAGCAGCGGCTGCTGCTGCTGGGCTGGTTGGCGCAGCACGCTGCAGCTTCTTGGCTCCCTGCTGCTGCTGCTGCTGCTGCTGCTGCTCCCTCAGGGCCCGCTTCTGCTGCTTTGCTGCAGCAAACTCCAGAGCCTCCCCCGCCCGCTGCGTCTGCTTCATTGCTGCTGCTGCTGCTGCTACTAAAGTCCCTTTGGTGAGGGCCTTAAGGGCTTTTCGCGTGTCTGCTGCTGTCTCCAGCGGCGGCAGCAGCGGACGGGGTCCGCCTGCTGCTGCTGCTGCTGCTGCTGCTGCTGCTGCGGGTGCTGCTGCTGCTGCTGCTGCTGCTGCCTGAGGCTGTGCAGCGCAGCTGCTCGGCGGCTTCGCTGGCGCAGCAGCAGAAGCCGTTGCTCTTGCTGCGGCAACCCTTCCCTGCTGCTGCTGCTGCTGCTGCTGCTGCTGCTGCCGTTCCTGCTGCTGCTGCTTTTGCTTCTGGCTTCTCTGTGGCATAACTGTAGCAATTTGGTGCAGATAACGATAGTTTTTAAAGGCCAGCAGAGCTATTTCCTGCAGCAGCAGCAGCAGCAGCAACAGCACAAGCAGCAGCAGCAAACGGGATTTAAGTTCTCTTTAAAGCTGCTGCTGCAGTTGTGGACCAGCAGCCAGTGCCTGCACCAAAGTGAGTAGCCGTGGCAGCAGCAGCAGCAGCACAGTTCCAGCAGCAACAGCAACAGAACACCAGCAGCAGCAAGAGATAGGGGCAGCAGCAACTCAGCAGGACCGCAGCAGCAGGCACTGAGCAGCAGCAGCAGCAGCAGCAGACGTTACTTAGCAGTTGCGGGAGCAGCAACAGCAACAGCAATCCCGAACAAGCAGCAGCAGCAGCAGCAGCATCAGCAGGCCCTGATTAGGTGCGGCAACCGCAGCAAGAGCAGCAGCAGCCACGCATCAGCAGCAGCCAAGGCCCAGCAGCAGCAGCAGCAGCAGCAGCAGAAAGGGCCTACGGCGTTGGGGTGCAGCAGCAGCAGCAAATGGAGACTTTTTGCTTCTGCTGCTAAGTGTGGGGCCCCGTCAAAACGCATGCGGCGGGCCAGAGACAGCTGAATGGCGAGGGCCATGTCGCGGCTGCTGCTCTGCAAGCAGCAGCAAACCAGCAGCACAGGAACCCTAGCAGCAGCAGCAGCAGCAGCAGCAGCAGCAGCAGCAGCAGCAGCAGCAGCAACAGAAACGGCTGCGATGCCAGCAGCGGAAACAGCAGCAGGAATAGCTGTAATGACAGCAGCAGCTGCTGCTGTTGCTGCCGTGTAGACACGTCGCACGTCCAAGTGGGTGAAACAGCAGCAGCAGCAGCAGCAGCAGCAACAGCAGCAGCAGCAACAGCAGCAGCAGCGGCAGCAGTGGCAGCAGTACTGTTGTGTACGGACAGCTGGGAGCTCTACGATCTCCTTGAGCTTTTTGACAAATGCCTGAGCTGCCTGCTGGTCCCTGTCTGCTATGTTGCTGCTGCTGCTGCTGCTGCTGCTGCTGCTGCTGCTGCCGTTGCTGGTGCTGCTGTTGATGCTACTGCTGCTGCTGCCGCTGTTGCTGCTGCCGGTGCTGCTATTGCTGCTGCTGCTGCACGAGGCAGGGGACCGGCTGCTGCTGGCTGGATGGCTGTTGCTTCTGTTGCTGCTGCTGCTGCTGCTGCTGCCTTGGGTGCTGCTGCTGCTGCCTTGGCTGCTGCTGCTGGCAGATTTGGTGCTGCTGCTACTGCTGCTACTGGAAGACTTGGTGCTGCTGCTACTGCTGCTAGTGGAAGACTTGGTGCTGCTGCTACTGCTGCTGCTTAGATTGCTGCTGCTTAAATTGCTGCTGCTGTCTGTAGACGGGGGCGATCTGCTGCAGGACTGCTGCAGCATCAAGTTGCGCTGCAGCAGCTCTGCAGCAGAAGCCAGGGCAGCAGCAAGAGCAGCCGAAGCACACACAATGGCAGCAGCAGCAGAACAAGTGACAAGAGCAGCAGCAGCAGCAGAACTGCCAGTAGCAGCAGCACCAAACTTGTTGCTTGCAGCAGCGCAGCAGCAGCAGCAGCTACTGCATTTGGCAATGAGGCAGCAGCCGCATCTCCATCAGTGTGGGGCGTAGCAGCCGAAGAAGCGACAGCAAGGGGCAGCAGCAGCAGCAGCAGCAGCAGCAGCAGAAGCAGCAGCAGCAGCAGCAGCAGCAGCAGCAGCAGCAGCAGCAGCAGCAGCA